CAGGATCCAATCCTGCATTCTGTTTCACTTAAATTCCCCAAGTTCAACTGAAACCAAAGCAATTTAAGGCTTTCAGTATGGGAGTTGTAGGTTAGGGGTTCAAGAATGAAATAATTTCTTTCTGTCCCAAACAGAGCAAGCAGAAAAATTAATGCTAAAATATTTCAAACTTACTGACACGTTTCCCTGACAAAGAGAACCCATCACCACAACTTTGAAGTTTAAAGTCCTACTCTGAAAACAATCGTGCTCATGGTCATTTCAGAGAGGCTTTCATACAGGAACACTTGATGCCTCCATCTTTGCCAACAATACAACAGCCAGACTTTTAAGAACAAAATAGTTTAAATGGCATTAGTTAATGTAAGGGATGTTTGTACTTTTGTGTAGCTACTGTGAGCATAGAAACAATAGATGCTGTTGATATACTATCAGGTGCATGAGACAGATGTTTAAGAAGCATTACAGAACAGAGAAATATTTAAAGGATCTCTTCACTACTCACTAAAAATCTCAGCAAGTTGACAGTAATAATGGTTAAGAACACAGACACAGAAAACAATGCAGCCTTCATGACAGCCATCATATAGCCAAATGATAAATACAGATTCTAATAACTACAAGAACTTAAAATAAACATTGTTCTACACAAAATACAGAGCATTACATCAAATACACTTCAGTAGCACAATTAGATGCATCAACTCCACTGTGACTGAAATCTGTGCTCAGTATTAACAATTACACAAGGGGAAACAATCTTCCCAATGCTTCATACTAGCATTAGAACTTGTGTGTCCCATCCTCTGAAGTCCTGTGATCCCAATGCCCTTGTTCCATGTGAACGCAGCACTAAGTATTCCCATAAATACTAGCCCACTAGGACACATTCAACACATACTGGGTTTTGGGAAATGCCAATATCCTCTTGCCTCCATCCCCACTACAGCTAACAGAACCTTTCTGATTGCAGTGGGTCAGCAGAATAATTCTGGGGAGACTCGCTGGGGACCTGAAGTTGGATGCTTAAAACCCGAATTCCTTAAATTGACACGTTAGCTTGCACATACTGTTATTGTCTTCACTTTGCCAAACAGAACATACTTCAAAGTCACTGGAAAAATAGGGTTTACATTTTGCATAAGCACTTCAGTTATTATCTGGCTCATATTAACAATCAACAAGGCTAACATAACAAACAATTCTTGTTACTCAAACTGGCGTCATTGTAATAAGCTCCAAATTAATCTAATCCACACACAATCACCAATCTTGCTTTGTGCCAACTGAATTTTTAATCAGAATGGAGTGAATCATAAGTTGTTTTTAAAATACATTTCTAATACTTGTCATCCAAAATGAATAAACACTAGAGCATGGAGAACTTTCCTATTTACATTTTGATAAGCTTCTTTTATTTATGCACACTATACAGAAAAGTATCAAACACATACAATAGGTGAGAACATTTTTAATGAGAATAAAAAAATGTTTATTTCTAATAATGCTTTGAGCATGAATAGCATCACCAACCTAAAGAATTTAGATCATTGACTGTAATTAAAACTGTATGACAAACTAAAATAAAAGGACTAGTTGCTCTGCTGTGTTGCTCCTCAATTTTTACATTATTCTAGAAGATCAGAATACACATGAGATGTAGCAACAAGGAGAGTAACTACTTCTGGTAAGGCATGCAACAAAGTGTTCAGGAATTCTGTGGGGGAAAAAAAAGATAGTATGAAGTCTTCACCTACAGCATCTACTTCTTAAAATGCACCACCTCTGGCATCTTGTTTGAGCTGTCTGGCTAACAGGTGCTTAAGTGAACACCTGTTACCACGCTTAACTGAAGGAGTGACTGAAGTGATCTGAAGCACAGCCATTCAGATATCTTCAGGGAGGTCTACTGACAGCCTCTACTGAGCCACATGAGCTTGAGGAATCTGGAGTACCTGGTTCTCCTTTCAAGCTAAGAATAATGCCTGACTCAAGCCATGTAACAGCATGTGATGACTTCTGCTTGGAAAACAAGAAACGCAGGCAGATGAGAGCAGTGCAGGAAGGCTCAATGTCAGAATTCCTACAGATCCAGAAGCATGTATTACTTACTTAAGACACTGTGCTCCTCATTTAATACAATCTACATGCTTTTGTGCATGGTAGATTCTTGTTTTGATTGCCAGGAACTGTTGCATCAAAAGTATTTGAAGATTGCTCAAGATTAAAAGCATTAAATTACACTCAACGTGCTAATCAATTATTACTTACAGACAGTAGAAAGGTATGTTAATAAATTAAAAACTATCTAGATGTTGATATAATTAACTTAAAATTATCTTTGTTAAAAAGCTATGAGATCTGTGAAAAAAAATGGAGTTATTCAAGTACTTAGCATACTAATCACAGAATGAGAACCACAGCATGGTTGGGTTGGAAAGGACCTTAAAGATCATAGTTCCAACCAACTCCCCTGCATGGGCAGGGACACCTCCCACTAGATCAGGTTGCTCAGAGCCCCATCCAACCTTGTCTGAACACTTCCAGGGATGGGCCTTCCACAGCTTCCCTGGGCAACATGTGCCAGTGTCTCACCACCCTCACACTAAAGAATTTCCTCCTAATGTCTAATCTAAATCTCACTTCTTCCAGTTTTGATCTACTACCTCTTGTCTTCTCACTACAAACCCTTGAAAAAAGTTTCTCCCCAGCTTTCCTCTAGGCCACCTTCAGATACTGGAAGGCTGCTATGAGGTCCCCTCAGAACCTCTGCAAGTCATGTTGAATATTAAAAGGTGAATGCAAAAGCAAAGACACTCCATACAGACCATAGCTGCAAGGTGCAATTAACATGCTCTGATAACATCAGGATGGACTGCAGGAGAATGATCAAGGACCTTATTAAAAAAGGTTACATTTACATAGTGAACACTACAGCAAGACATAATGACCACAGGAAAGCTGTTGGCTTGCAAATTTCATTTTTGGTTTGTTTTAAATAATTTTAAATTAGGCTGGTTAATATCTTATTACGCATCAGGGAGCAAATGGCTCTTCAAGCCACTTTCCAATGAAGAAGACGGGAAGCTTGTTTTGTGCTTAGGCAGAAGAAAAGCAACATTCCCAAAAGTATCATTAATGAACAATTTAAGAAAGAAAGACAGACAACCAAGAATGTTTTGATCCTTGTAGGTTTCCCTGTGAATCACTAGTGCTAGTGACTTCCTTCCACATGAGAAATATGGCACAATATCACACTCTATCTGAACAGCATTTCTACAATATGCCTCAAATTATTTTTAATATCTCATTTGCTATTTGTTATTTATTTCAGCTTGCCAGAACATTAAAAAGATTCCTCTTCCTTTAACATCAGCTGCAGAAAGTGGTTGCTAGCGTGAATACTTCTCAGGAGGTTGTAAGATCATGAAACAACAAAAACAGAAAAAGGGGAAAACAGGAGAACTGGTAAATAAAAGATTGTGAAAACAATTCTAGAACTGTCATATGACGTAAAACATTTTCTATAAATAAGCCTAACATAACAGCTATTCAGCAGCACCATAACTCCTTCCCAAAGCAGTTTGTGAGCGTAACAGCCAAGTGACTGGGGAAAGAAAAGGAATAGCACATTCACATTTTAAGAATTCTGTAAAGTAGGCTAAAAATCATTATTAAAACCAAATATTCCAAGATTTTACAGTTTCTCAATAAAAACTAGTAAGAGGTGAACAAAGATAAAACCAAAAACCAACACATCATGTCACATGGCAAGGATAGGTTCAACTTTCTGGGTACTACCTCATGTTCTTCCACAATGACACCTGTACCCCAGCATTAAACAGTAAAACACAACAGTCTCTGACTTACTTTTGGGAGCACCTATACCTGATGCAATCACCCAACTGTACTGCAGACATGCTTATAAAGCACAAAAGAAGCTGCAGCTGAGGACTATGCAAAGAGGCTCTCTCTGACAAGGCTCTACACCAAGGGAAGTTCAACTAAAAGACACCTCACATGTGTGTTTGGCCAGTGGCTCCCATATATCCCTACAAAATGAAATATATTTAAAGTGCCAATTGCTTTTTTGGTCAACTTTCTAATAAAAGCTAAAAATTCTGAGGAAATTCTGCACCATAACCACAAGCACTGGACACTTATTGGAAAAAAAATGCCCAAACCCTATCGTCAACCAATAGTGTCAACCCAGAAACAAGGCTGCAGGTTTGCAAAGGCAGCAGAACAGACCCCTAAGACAGGGGAAGAGTAAACGAGAAAAACTCTGGGTTTCAAAATACCTTAATATGTCTTGGGCAACTATGACTTCTAAAAAGAAGAAATATTTTAAAGGCATGAACATTAATAGTTTCTTCAGCAAGGCTTTAGTACTCCAGGCTGATTCTGAAGAGTGAACAAAATGCCTGGTTTCAGGTTGTGGTGTTTCTTCTTTCATAATAATAAGACTGTGCAAAAATATTTTCTCATTAAGTTGTTTATTGACCCTCCCACCTTTTAAAAGGGCACTTCTTTATGCTAACACTATCACACATGAGCCAGTATCTTTGACAGAGTGGTTTCAACAATATACAAACCTGGTTCTATCTTTCCTCATGGGAAAACAAAAATCGACATCACTACACAATATTATGATACTTTTTCTGGAACAAAATGCTGTTTCAAGACACAACTGCGTAATCCTTTTTGCTAAAACAGAATTTTTAAGATAGTCAGATATTAAATAGACATCTTTTTATAGCTACTCTGAATAGTTATTGTAAATGTCATCTTGTCTCAATAAAAATATTTTTTTAAAAACACTATATTTATGGATTCAACTTTGAATCAAGATTAAGTGTTGATACCCACAAAACAGTGAAATAAAAGGTTGGAGTTTTTCTTAATTCTGCATTGTTAGCAAAGTCCAATTGCCAAAGCTATTCTAAAAAAGCCAAGTCTCTTTTCATGATATAAGGTTCTCAAAACTGTGATGTACTTACATGTAAGGCAGAAGGATCTGGCAAAAATTCAGCATCCTCTCCAAAGATAAAATCTGGTGGCAGGTCAGGATAGTGAGCATTGAAAATTATATCCCCTGAAAAGTAATAAATGAAAGGACAGTTTGTATTTCTATGTATGTGCTTATAACTAAATATTGTATATCCTACACACATTTTAATATAAAATTGGATAGCTACATTAAATACATTTAACCTATATAGCTATATAACTTTTACCAAAAAAATCACATGCAAGATAAGCATCAGATGTTTTGGGGGATGAAGTAAGATTCCTCAGGCACAGCTTCTTCCTCCTCTGCAAGCAATGAAACTTGAAATAAATTATTGCTTCATATCTCAAATGGTAAATCAAACACTACTGAGGGTTGTCTCAAAACACCAAGTTAGAAAAGTGATCTTGTTTTTAAAAAAACCCACATTTAGATTGCTACGTTTTACGTATTAAGTTAAAGTCAAATGTAAACTAAGATCAGGATTTTCAAAATTCTGGTGCTTTTAAAACTTAGTAGCACTTATTCCCTCTTACCCTCCCCACCCACAACTCTTAGATGGAATAATACACAGTTCAACAGGAACCACTGCAATTATTCAAACTCTGTCCAAGATAATGCAATTATTGCACATTAAATTGATAGACAAAATTAAACTAAAAATATTTAAGCTTGTAAAAAAACATGTTTCTAGCATTAATTGTCTACTTCACAATCCCTTTTTCCTCTTTATGAAGATACAAAATATTAACTCCCAGCTTTTGCATAGAGAAGATTTGTGACGTAGCAGGCATTAGAAGAAAGAAAGATGTGTCAAGATCTACACAGCAAAGTAAAACCAGTCTGGTAAGCCTTAAAAACAACTCTGTTCAGAAAAAGTTAAATGATTTCTTATTTTTTCCAAAAACATGAACAAATGCTGAACAAATTTTACAAAGCCACACTGCTTCCTCAGTGTTGTCATCAATTAAAGACATTCAGTGTGACTGTCTTAATTGCTAATATTCTGAAAACTCACCTTGGCTCTAACTGGAAGCAAGAATGCTGTAAAGATTAATTTGCCAAGGATTAGGTCTCCTGACCAAGAAGCCAACAGCCTGTATGGGGTAGGTGTGCTCTACAGTATTGCTCCAAATCATAAACTCACTGCACAGTGGAGGTTTCTCCTGTCTGCTTCCCCTCACGTATGTCAGGAATACACGTAAGCACAAGGTGCAGGAAACAGTAGAGGTCCACCACTTAAAATATCCAACACAGTAGTTCATTTAACACATACTTTTCACACTGCAATCACTAGCTGCATGTTTTTCATTCTCTGCATTCCTACTTTATCTGAGTTAAAGAAATTGTACACATAGCTACAAATCAGGTCACTAGAAGTTGCGTTTCAACAACATACATACTATAGAAGGCTGCTTAGAATAAAGAAGGATGAAAACAACTTCATGTTTTAATGTTATACATCCATGTTGGATTAGCAAAAAACTATTAGATCACAAGGTGACTCCAAAAGTCTGCTTAGAGTACCGAGACTAGCAATAAACTGTATTCACCACTACAAGATCCACATTAATGGGTGAAAGTCAGGAAAGCTGCGACAGTAGGTGCAATATGAAGGTTCAAGCAGGTATTGACTCATTTTTCCTCAGTGTTTTCAGTTCTAAAGCAACATCATCACATGCAGTGTTCCAAGTATGACAGTAAATTAAAATTGGCATTGAACTTCCACAGTTCAGGGTATATCCTATGCAGTGACTCCTGCTGTGGGACAGGGCCAGCAGCTGGATAGGGTACCTTCTGCAAATCACTCAGGTGTGAAGCATGGCGACAATGAGGTCAGGCATGTCACCGTTGCATCTGGCCAAACCAATCTGTTACCTCTCTCACATGCTCATAGTTCTATACTACTTTGTGTTACACCCTTCTTCCATGGAATACTAGTGGCATATCATTCCTTATCCATAGTAGGTGACCAAAACCACAGATGTTTTGGTTTTTAAAGTTTTTATGACCTTCTGATACCATAGAACTAATCAGTACAAGGAGAGAAATCAGAGGAAAAAGTAACATTGTAATACTTGGTTTCTGTTACTTGTAATTGCTTCTACTTGCCAAGGGTAAACATGCCCCCCAAGTCCCTTCAGTAAAAGTAATTTTGAGACATGTATCAGCATTCAAGCCAATGTGTATTCCAAGAAAATTTTTTCTTATACCATCGTCATTTTCCAAAAGGCTTGAAGGGTTCTCTTGGCTTCAAAATAAAACAATTTCTTAAGTCCCTGTCAATCGTAAATCGCAAAACACTGGTGCTAAGACTACACTCACACTCAAAGCATGTCAGCTAAAATCATGCTGTTGTCCTTATTTTCTAAACAAACCAGAAACATATAATGTAATGAATTAACAACAGTCTTTCCTACAGTATTATAGCTTTTTAAATCCAAATGTAAACCTTAATTTATGTTGCTACAATCAAGCCTCACACAGGCTATGTATCAATAAAGACAAAAAGTACAGAACAAAATGGTGTTTCAACTTCTAGAAAAGAGCAGTGCTTCTCTATCATCAGTGGTTTTCAGTCTGTCAATTAAACACAGCATTTTACTACTGTAGATTACAAGATCTGACCTTAGAACAATTTTTTTTCACATATTTTAACAGGAAAAAAGCATCCCCTCAGTCAGATCTTATTCTAGTAAGATCACTTCTGCCATGAATCCAAATACATTCCCCTAGTTGCTCAAAGGAAAGAAAAAATAACTTTTTTTTGAACCATATTAGACATTCACTCATGTGACCCCTGGCCTCTGTAACTCCTTTGCTCCATCCTCTCCCCTCCATATATTCCTCTTATGCCTTGCTTAATTTACTGTGCAAGGACAGAAAAAAGTAACACCTCTGACTCTAGAAAACTTAGGTACCAAAAAATGTGTTTGTCCTATTGGCAACTACGAGCATAAGCTGTTTTCATAAATTACACATTTTTAACAAAATACACCTTTATAAAACAGACTAAAGATTAAGGAAATTGATCCTAAAGCTTAGTTTTATTCTTGTTAAATACCACAAACCAGATAATTAAAACTGCAGTTAACAGTTTTCTTGGCAGGACCATGACACATAAATAAAAAACGCTCTCTAATATTAAAAGAAAAGGTATTTAAACAATCACAATGGCCAACGCAACAGATTACCTAATATTACCTAATATTCATTTCACATAAATATTAACACTAGTCTCTGCAACAAGCTTACAAAATGTAATGTGTTAAATATATTGAATCATTGGCCACAAGTTTGTGCTGACCTAGAGGAAATACTGTTTTTTTAACAACTACTTTATTGGATACTTATATACTACCTGTGGTTTATCCTGTTCAAATATAATTGTGCTAAGGTAACACAAAAATTTTCAGCCAATAAAGCCAACTGCTTACAATTTGAGGATGGTTCCCATTTTAATTTTCAAAGCAAAACCAGAAAAAAAAATAGTCAATATAGTCCTACATTCTCTCCCCTTCTCACGTAAATGAAACAATTACCCTTTTTCCTTGCATCTCCAGCACTCAAGTATGCAGTTTCTCATATATTTCAACCCTGTTTGCCCTTACTGCCTTGACAGAAGGCAAATCTTGTGGCATTCTACAGCATTATTGACCATGACCTTTCAAGTGTAAGAACAATGTAAGCAAAACCTTAACGCTCAGATCACATTAATCTCATTTCTGTAGATCTACTAGCCAATAATTACTTCTGTGGAATTGTATTTCCACTTAAATAGTACTACAGAATTTAAAATTACTTCAATAAAGTTAAAGACATGGAATCAAAAATAAATGTAGAAGGCAAAGGACATACGACACATGTTTTGCTTTTTGTTATTAAAAAGTATTACTCTCTCTTCCTTTTTTCTCCTTGGCCAAACAGCATTGAATTGTGAAATATTTTACTGTACAGGATTTCAAAGGAAAAGTTAATATGTTCCAAATAGACATAAATATAGAAATATGAATACCTAAATCTATATTTTTTTCAACACACACACTGTTCTCATCTATCAAAATGCTTAAGCAAGCCTAACAAAGCAGTAATGTTTTACTACAAGCAAGACAAGTGTAACTCTGAAACCGAGAAATTTCTTTAATACAGTAGCTCTCCACTGACCTAACCTATTCTCAGGGTTTCCTCTCCTTATAACTCAGTTTTTAGAGTATTTTGTTTTCTTTTTTAATCATACTGTACATTTGGTAGTACTGAAAGATGTTGTACTGGGAGTGCCACAGCACTGACAACCCTGATTACCTAAAGGCAGCAGAATTAGGAAGCAATATATCAGTTAACTTCTTAGACTCTACTTTTGACATATTTATATTCTTCAGCGTTTTCTGACCCCCAAGATTCTTAAGTCAGCACTAAGTCTGTAGAATAAACATGCATATCCACTGCAACTTGAAGTAAGAACAATCTGAATGGAATTCAGCACATGAAGGACATCAACCCATTTGGCTTTTAAGATGCAAACAAAAAATCCAAATGCAATTTCATCACAAAATGCATCACAGATAACAGGAAACAGTGTTGATACAAGTGACCAATCCTATATGCAGCACTAGTTTTGAGAAAACAAAAAACTGTTCTTGTTGAGTATTAAGAAGATAGTAATTAGAATTATATTACTCATTTATTAAGAATGCTAACCAATCTCTTCTAGAAGCCACACAAATTGTAGACAAAAAACACTGATTGGTGCCCTCTGCAAACAATTTTTTACCTAAAACAGCCACTGTTAATTGTCCTTACATGTGCAAAAAAGAATCAGTTATTCACTTTGATTTGCAACCTAAACACTAAGTCACCAGTATGAAATTATTTAAATTAACTAAATGCAGACCTGCTGACTTGTCACTGGGTTCCACTCTAACGGTTTTAAGCCAAATATAGTAATACACTACCTACAGTCTCTTCTTAATTGGATAGCAGGAAAGATGCAGTTCCTGAAATGACAATACAACTTTGGTAAACGCAGAACTACTACTGGAAGAAGATACAGGAGTAATTCTCTTTCTGCTGTTGTGTTGCTGCTG